GCTGGGCTCATATAATTAAGAAGTATCACTCTTTTTCTGAAAGGCTTAAGTTTGGAATTAGTTTTTGAATACTTGTTAGTACTCACCAAGTAAGTTGCTTAGGATGGAATTTTCTTTCTGGGAATATTTTAAATTATGATTCAATTATTTTGATGGCTATAGAACTATTTTGTATATTTTGGTAAGCTATATTCTTATTAAAATTCAATTTTTTCTACATGTTACAAATTTACTGGTTTTAAGTTATTCATAATAACATATTTAACATCATAACAGAAATATTTTTGTCCTCTTCATTCTTGATACAGGATATGTCTGCCTGCTTTTTTTATTACCTTTACCAGAAGTATATCACTGTTATGAATCTTTTTTAAAAAAAAAAGTTATAAAGAAATTTCTGCTCTAATCTTAATTTCCATTTTCCTCTTTTTGTTGTTTTTTTGTTTTGTTTTGTTTTGTTTTGTTTTGAGTCTCACTCTGTCGCCTAGGCTGGAGTGTAGTGGTGCAATCTCAGCTCACTGCAACTTCCGCCTCCCTGGTTCAGCGATTCTCCTGCCTGTCTCCTGAGTGACAGGGACTACAGGTTCATACCATCACGCCCGGCTAATTTTTGTATTTTTAGTAGAGAAGGGGTTTCACCGTATTGGTCAGGCTGGTCTTGAGCGCCTGACTTCATGATCCCATCCACCTCAACCTCCCAAAGTGCTGGGATTACAGGCGTGAGCCACCGCACCTGGCTGGCTTCTATTTTCTTTCAGCTTATTTTGTGTTTCTGTAATAACTTAAAGATATATGCATCTTTTCCTAATACATCTTTCTGCTAAACACATTTAAATATATCAGTTTCTTCCAAGTGCTATTTTAGCTGCAATGCATACATTTTATGTATTTTCACCACTGTCCAGTTCCACTTTCTAGTTTAGATAAGCATTTCTTTGACTCATGGGTTACCTTGAATTGTCTTAACATCCTCAAATATGGGGCTGCTGAATCATTTACTTACCAGGTAATGCCAAGTTTTTTTGTTATTGTACTTTGGGCTCTGGGGTACATGTGCACATCCTGCATGCTGCAGGATTGTTGCATAGGTACATACATGCCATGGTGCTTTGCTGTCTCCATCTCCATCACCCCCCCATCCCCCTCCCCATTGCCTACATCAGGCAATTCTCCCGGTGTCATCCCTCCCCATCCTCCCTGCTCCCTGCTGGCCCTCCCCTACTCTCCCCTCCACCCTCCCCACCTAGCCCAGTGAGTGTTGTTCCCTTCCCTGTGCCCACATGTTCTCATTGTTTGTCACCTGCCTAGAAGTGAAAACATGTGGTATTTGGTTTTTTATTCTTGTCAGTTTGCTGAGAATGATGGTTTCTAGATTCATCCATGTCTCTTACAAGAGTCTCGCTCTGTCACCCAGGCTGGGATTACACGCTTGAGGCACTGCACCTGGCTGGTAATGCCAATTTTGAATTATCTTCCTAGTGAAGTGAACTTTTCATTATGACTCTTTTCCCTAGCAATTTCTTTTTTCCAATACTAATATATATACATCAGCTTCCTTTTGGTTTGTATAACTTTACCCATCACCTTACTTTCCGGTTGCTTGTATTTTATGGTTTAGGTGTTGTCTTTTATAACAGTATATAATTGGTTTATTTTTTTAATCAGTTAACAATCTGCCTTTAACTGGTTGTATTTTCCTTACAGATGGTGGACAATAGAACTTTGTCAAATACATAGCTTGCAAATACTTTCTCCCATTCTGTAGGCTTCCTGTTTATTCAGGGCAGCTTTTTAGTTGGCATTAGATCCCATTTGTAAATTTTTGCTTTTGTTGCAATTGTTCTTGCTGTCTTTGTCATGAAATATTTGTCTGTGCCTGTGTCGTGAATAATATATACTGACTAGGTTGTTTTCCAGGCCTTTTATAGTTTTGGATTTTACATTTAAGTCTTTAATCCATCTTGAGTTGATTTTTGTATATGGTATAAGGAAGGAGCAGTTTCAGTCTTCTGCATATGGCTAGCCAGTTATCTGAGCACCATTTCCTTTCTCCATTGCTTGCTTCTGTCACCATCAGATGGTTGTAACTGTGTAGCTTAATTCCAGGCTCTCTATTCTATTCCCCTGGTCTATGTGTCTGTTGTTGTGCCAGGACCATGCTGTTTACTGTAGCCCTGTAGAATGGTTTGAAGTCAGGTAGTGTGATTCCTCCAGATTTGTTCTTTTTGCATAGAAGTGCCTTGGCTATTTGGGCTTTTTGGTTCTGTATTAATTTTAAAATAGTTTTCTAGTTCTGTGAAGAATGTCATGTTAACTTAATAGGAATAGCATTGAATCTATAAACTGCTTTGGGTTGACATAGGTCATTTTAATAAAATTGTTTCTTCCTATCCATAAGCACGGAATGTTTTTCCATTTGTTTGTGTCATCTCCGATTTCTTTGAGCAGTGTTTTGCAGTTCTCCATGTAGAGATCTTTCACTTCCCTGATTAATTGTATTCCTGGAATTTTATTCTTTTTGTGGCAATTCCGAATGGGACTGCATTCCTGTTTTCACTCTTGGCTTACCGTAGTTGGTATATAGGAATGCTACTGACTTTTGTATGTTGATTATATGTCCTAAGATTTTGCTGAAGTTGCTTCAGCTTAAGAAGCTTTTGGGCTGAGATTATGGAGTTTTCTAGATATAGAATCATGTCATCTGCAAACAGAAATGGACTTCCTCTGTTCTTATGTAGATGCCCTTTCTTTCTCTTGCCTGGTTGCTCTGGCCAGGACTCTCAATACTATGTTGAATAGGAGTAGAGAGACAGGGTATGCTTTTGTCCATTCAGTATGATATTGGCCGTAGACTTTTCATAGATGGCTCTTATAATTTTGAGGGATGTTCCTTCAATATCTAGTTTATTGAGTTTTTAACATGAAGAGGTGAATTTTATCAAAAGCCTTTTCAAAGCACTTCCTTTTGTGAGAATCTGCAGGTGGCAACCTTGCTCCTATTTTGTTATCTGACAGTATCTTTATTCTACCCTCATTCCTGAAATACACTTGCTAGGTACAGAATTTTAAAATTGAATTTATTTTTCTTTCAACACATTAGAGATAGTCATTCAGCTGAAGATTTAGTTGTGAGAGAAATCACTCTGCACTGCTTACCACTTTAGCCCACTGCATCTTGCACTGCAATCTCTACTACTACTTCAAAGAGTCTGGTGAGACAGAATATTCACACATACACAAGTTTCAATTCAAGAAGTCAACTTATTATAGGTAGGCAGTAAGAACAACGGTAGCCCAGGATTCATGACAAGCAAGTCTCTGAAGGCTGAGGAAACCAGCATAGGGCAGATTTGGATTTATCTGTGCATACTCCACTTGCACTGTCGCTGAGAGCCGCTGGGGAAAACAGTACCCGTTGGAGGGGTGACATGGTCTGTTGGGTTAAAGTGGTGAAGGACATCCTGTTCCAGGAGGGGCATGAACAGAGCCTGGGCTATTCTGGACAATTCTTTATCTTTGGTTGTTGTATTCCTGGCACATTTTTACAAGAACTACAAGCGAGAAAGTGGAGAACAGCTGGGTCACTAAAGCTATTCAGGGACTTGTCCTGTACTAGCTGAGGTTTCTGTTACTTTTGTTTTGGCTACTTTTACAAGTTTTTGGCATTCTGTTGTTTCACTACATATGTGTAAGAGTGAGGATTTTATATCTATCCTGCTAAGGATAAATCTGTAATGTGTTTCATTGATTTGAAAAAAAAATCTCAGGAATTATAGCTTCAAATATTGCTTCTGCCTATCTATATGAAACTATTAGACATACATTAGACTCTTGTGTTTTAACTGCCTCTCATATTTTCAAGCTTGCTTTTTATGCTGAATCCTGGATAGTTTCTTTTGGTTCTATCTTGCAGTCATGAATTCTCATCATTTCAAGTCCATCAAGGTTTATTTTTAAATTTTAGCTATTCTATTTTCCACTTCTAGAAGTTATAATTGGTTCTTTTCCAAATATGCCAGGTTTTTATAATGCCGTTTCTTGCAGATATTTGCCAGCAACTTTTAATTTTAAACATGTAAACATGTTTTGTATTACACATGTGTTAATTCCAGAATCTGAGTTTTCTGGTGGTCTATCTCTGCTGCCTCTTAGCCGTAGTGCTAGTTTTCCATGTGGAATCAGCTTGTTATTGAAACGTAAGGATTCACTTTCCTTGGAAAATTATTTGTTGACAACAAAACTTGTTGACATCCGTCAGACACTCATTCTGGGCCATATATCAAATTTATAGCTCAAGTTTTGTTTTAGCACACAGATGACTTAAATCCAGGATGGCCTGCAATTCTGCCCAAGTACTGAAGCAGGTTTCTTCTGGCTCACTCTTACCCTGAGGATACAGTCCTTAGGGTCTTGTCTTTCCGGAAAAAGTGTTTCTTATGACTCTCTAACTCACATGGGTTCTGTGCTTTCTGTTCTGCCCACTGTGTCAAAACCAAAACCAAAGTTGAAATTCATCTTAGGGTAAAAGAGGCTTTATCCAGTTTCACTTAGAAATATTGGCCTTATAATTAATCTCTTATGATATTGCCAGCTCCTAGAAACTTCTCAAAAATGCTTTTTCTACTCCTCCTAAAGTTTTCATTTTCAGCAGGAGAACTGCTAGATTAACTATCTGCCACATTACTGAAAAGAAAATCTAAAATTTTATTAAAAACCTCATATATTTCATAGCATCATTTTCTCATTTATCAATGTGAGGAAATTTTCTATGTCATTAAAAATTCTTCATAAACCTACTTTTAAACTACTTCATTATACATGTCATCCCAACTCACTTAACCTTTTAGGTATTTGAAAGAGTTCTGTTATTCCCAAATTTTCACTCAGATAATCATTTTTAGTAACATGATTATGTGAAAAACTTTGTCCACGTTCATGAGTATCTTTTCCTTAGGATAGAATCTTAGAAATAAAATTTACAGGTTCAAAAAGTATCACTGTTCTTAAAGTTCTTAATACATCTCTCCAATTTATTTTCAATAAGCTGTATCAGATTCCTCTCAACCACCAAGACCAATGGTAAGAAGTAAATTGCGCCATGTATCACTACTATTAAGTACAATCCAACACCCTTCTCCATGCCAAATGTTAAGCAAGGAAATATGATCAGATTTGCATATCAGTAAGGTGACATCTACAGCCAAATGGCTGCAAACAACATACTAAAAAATGGACTGGAGACAAGAAAGCCACATATAGATTGCTACAAAAAAAAAAAAAGAAGTCTAAAGTATCAGACTGATAGTTGGAAAAGGGGGAATGAGTGACTTTGAGACAGTAAAGCACTGTCTCACATAACTCAGCTCTAACTACACAATAAACCATCACAGAATGTACTGATTTAAAAGAACTACAGTTAATTTAGCTTGTAACTGGCAATTTGGATTGGGATTAGCTGTCATGGCTGAGCTCACTCGTGTAAGTGTGGTTGGCTGAGAGCCGGCTGGTCTAGGATGATCTACCTCTGCTCTACATGATCTGATCCTCTGGTAGGCCAGCCCTAGTGTGCTCACATGTCAGTTGGACAGATGTCCAATAGTGCAGATAGAAGTATGCAAGGCTCTGAGGCCTAGAACCTAAGTTTGCATAATATTACCTCATTCTTTTGAGCAAATCAAGTCAAAAGGCCAAGAGATTTGAATAACTGAAAAACAGATGAACAGGAGACACTGCAAAGTTACCTTGCAAAAGATACAGGTACAAGGAGTGGTAGAGAACCATGAGCATTTTGTGATCCACCACATAGTGTTATCACAATTGCTGAATAATGAGGAAGAGGCCTCTAGGGAAATGGTGAAGTCACCATAAAAGTTTCAAGGTAGCTACACATTATGTCAGGGGTGGTTATTAACAATAATGAAAATGTATTAGACTTTGTATAGTCTATTATACAAATGATTGATGTAAGTAAATTTTAAAGCTTCTCCCTAACCTTTTATTGTGAATGAACATTGATGCAGGGAGAAGAGACAGTCACAAGAAAAATCATGTATGTGTTATTAAAGTAGAAGTGATGAAATGTTCAGAATGACAATGTATTTAAAAAATAACCTTGCTGGAATTCTACATCTATCATTATCACAGCATACTTCTTTGATGAAGCTAAAGAAAAGCCAGAAGGCTAATATTCTTGGATGAGAATAGCATTTTAAAATTTTTTCAACAAAATTCTAGAAACTTGTCCATTTTAGATCCATTATTTCCTGTTTAGTTGTAAAATCAAATTTCATACATCAAGTGCTATTATTCCAATGAAGTTTTTTCAATTGTCACTAGTGATCTTGATCCACATATTACATTTATAATATCCAAAAATAAAATATTTCATTAGTAACAGGAATTTTCAAAGCTTAAATAATATATTTCAAAAACCAATGATAATTAAAGTAAGGATTCTAAATTTCTGCATGTCTTGTTAAGCTTTGTTGTATAGACTACAATTTTGGTTCCGCAGATTCAGAAACACGAAATTGCCAATTGGGTTTCATGGCTTCTTGCATCAGCTCCTGCAACTGTCCAATTTGTTCATCACGAAAGTCATTAAGTTTTTCTTCTGGGAGGAAGATGCCAAAACATGGTTTTCCAGTTGAATTTTGCCTGTTTTCATTAGCTTGTTGCGATAACACTGTTGCATACACCTAAAAAGAGAAAGAATGAAGGTTATAGACATAAAGTTTAACTAGTATTTAACATTAGAAGAATTGAATTTTAATTCCAAGTCACCTATTTTTCCTCATCACTAAATGCAGAAGCATTTGGTTAGGAAGATACAAATATAGTTGTGAAGATACAATTCATTGATAATTTTATGTGTATCTATTTTTTAGCACTTTTAAGAATTTCAGTCAATTTTTAGCAAAATTTTTAACCTGGAAATAAGTAGGGCATGATGAGTTCATGGATGGGCATGCATAAACCACTTCAAAACATGTGCAAAACTGTATTTACAGAAGTATGGACATCGTTTCTAGGGCCATAGCTTTCAACAGATTCTCAAACAGGAAAGATGGGTCTTTTTTCCCCCAACTTTTATTTTAAATCTTCACATGTATCCCCTAGATACAAGGGGTATATGTGTAGGTTTGTTACATGGCAACAATTACATGATGCTCAAGTGTTGGGTACTGATCCTGTCACCTAGGGAGTAAGCATGGTAGTTTTTCAACCCATACCTCCCTCCAGTAGTCCATGCTGTCAGTTGTTCCCTATTTACATCCATGTGTGCTCAATGTTTAGCTCCCCCTTAACAATTGTCCGTTCCTGTGTTAATTTGTTTAGAATTAAGGCATCCATGCTGCTGTAAAAGGACATGATTTTATCCTTTTTATGGTTGTGTAGTATTCCACAGTGACATGTAATACATCTTCTAGTGAGTCTAAGTTTATTCCTAAGTCTTCAATTACAATTTTAATTTAAAATACACTAGATAAAAACTTCTTAAACCTTTAAGCTTTCAATACGTAACAACCATCTGTGTCAAGAAAAACTGTTTTTCATGTTCTTGTTTTGTTCTTATTCATTAAGTACATTCAGTCTAATACTTCAACTGTCACCATCTGTGCAAGTGCCACTGTTTTAAAACAGACTCTCACTCTATAATTAATTAATATTTTAACAGATGAATTACCAATGTATTTTAGTTCATAAAGTTAAAGTGAATGAACTGGCTAACTATGGATAATGCTGCTACTCAATCTGGCTTGAGATATCCAAATTGCTTGTAATTGCTGAAATGGGAATGTTGCCAGAGCAACTTTAATTCCAAACATTCCAAATCTTAACTTATGGAGAAAATATTTTCTCCATGATTTACAGAAATCCGCTTATGAAAACACTTCAAGTTTTCTCAATTCCACTTCTAAGTATATGCTTCAGAGCATCAACCTTGGCGCTATTTTGTTGGCAGTGGAGAGGGTTCCTGGGAGTCTGCTCTTGCATTGCAGATGTTTAGGAGCAACACCCTCTCCCAGTCTTGATAATCTAAAATGTCTCCAAACACTGCCAAAGGTTTCCTGGTAGACAAAAATCACCCTGGTTGAGAACTACCAAACATCTGAACAAATATCATCCATAAGATGTTCATTGTGAAAGCAAAAACTTCATAACAATTTTACTTTAATAGGAGAAAAGTCAACACTAAAACTTACTCAGATAATAAAGAAATAACAGGCCGGGCGTGGTGGCTCAAGCCTGTAATCCCAGCATTTTGGGAGGCTGAGGCGGGTGGATCACGAGGTCAAGAGATCGAGACCATCCTGGTCAATATGGTGAAACCCCGTCTCTACTAAAAATACAAAAAATTAGCTGGGCATGGTGACGCATGCCTGTAATCCCAGCTACTAAGGAGGCTGAGGCAGGAGAATTGCCTGAACCCAGGAGGAGGAAGTTGCGGTGAGCTGAGATCGTGCCATTGCACTCCAGCCTGGGTAACAAAAGCAAAACTCCATCTCAAAAAAAATAAATAACTAAAGAAGTAACAACAAATAAGCTAAAAGTCTATGTATCAACATAGATGAATCTCCAAAACATAGTTACTCATTTGCAAAAATGGAATAGACAAACAGCAAAAACAATCTTGAAAAAGAACAAAACTAGAGGACTCACAACTCCCAGTTTCAATACTTGAAAGCTACCTTAAAACAGTATGGTACTGGCATTAGTATAGATACCTAACACCAATAGAATAGACAGTCTAGAAGTAAATCCTTATATATGTACCCAATAGCTTTTTTACAAAGATGTCAAATCCACTGAATGGAGGAAAGAATAGACTGGTCAACAAATGGTGCTGGTGGGCAAACTGAATTTCCACATGCAAATGAAGTTAGACCCCCACCTTCCTCCATATACAAAAATGAACTCAAATATAATAGCTAAAATTATGAAAATCCTAGAAGAAAACATATAGGTAAATCTTTATGACTATGTCCTTTGATTTGGCAAAAGGTTCTTAGATATGACACCAAAAGCCCACACAGCAACAACAAAAATTGATAAATTGGACAGCATCAAAATTTAAAACTTCTGTGCAACAAAGGACACTTAATAGTTAAAAGACAAACTACAGAATGAGAAAACATTTGCAAATCATATCTGATAATGGTTTACTATCCAGAATATATAAAGAATCACAACAAAAAGACACCCAATTTAAAAATGGGTAAAGTACATGAATAGACATTTCTCCAAAGATATATAGATGGCCAATACATGAAAAGGTGCTCAAAATCATTTATCATTTAAAAAAATGTAAATCAAAACCACAATGATATGCCACTTCACACCAAGATGTCTACTATAATAATTTTTTAAACCCCAGAAAATAACAGGTGTTGGCAAGGCTATGAATAATGGGAATATAAAATGGTATAGGTGCTGCACAAAAGATTGGCAGTTCCTCAAAGTTAAAACAGAATTACCGTATGATTAAATGCACTCATAGGTATATACCAAAATAACTGAAAGCAGGATCTCAAACACATACTTGTATACCCATGTTCACAGCAGCAATATTTAAAATAGACAATATTTGGAAAATAACCTTAGATGTCCAGAAGCAAGCAGATAAACAAAATGTGGTACAGACATACAATGGAAGAATATTTATCACCCTTGAAATGGAAAAAAGTTCTGATGCATATGACATGGATAAACCTTGAAAACATTATGCTAAGTGAAGAAGCCAAACATAGAAAGAAAAATATTGTATCATCCCACTTAAATGAAATATGTAGAATAGAGAGTACTAAGGGCTGGGAGGAGGTAGGAAAGGCTGTTATTGCTTAATGGCCACAGAGTTTGTTTGGGTGATGAAAAAAAAATCTGGAATAATATCTCTACAATGTATCATGTACAGTGTCCAGGAAAAATATTCAAAATTATTACAAACATAGCCAAGAGAAAAGGCAATCAATGGAGACCAGTGCCTGAGATTATTCAGACATTAGAATTAGCAGAAAAAGATTGTATAACAGCTACTATAAATGTTATGTAAAAGAAAATAAAGTCCTCATAAATGGGCAGATAAATTTCAGCAGAGAATGAAGAATTGTAAGAACCAAATAAACTCTAGAACTCAAAAATGCAGTATCTGGAATTTTTAAAATGTCATTTAGTAGATTGGAGATGAAGAAAAGATACATTAAACTGAAAATATAGCAATAAAAATTATCCAATTTCAAAGAGAAAAAAACTATTTAAAAATGAATAAAATATCACTGATCTGTGAAACAATGCCAAAAGATTTACTATACATTTAAGTGAAATCCACGTAAGTGCCTTAGCAGAAAAATAAACAAATTCAAGAAGCTTAGCAAGTTCTAAGCAAAATACAAAATAATACTATACCTAAGCATATAAATTATTGAAGAATAAAGAAAAAATCCTTTTTAAAAGTTTATAAAAGAAAACATTTACAAATATGGGCAAATTTACAAAACATAAAAACAAGCATGGAAGCAACCAACATCAGGATCCTGATTACCTCTGAGGAGTAAGAAGGGGAAATGGAATTTTAGCTATACTTTTATTTACTTTCAAAAAGAGTAATCTCAAGTAAATCCTTCAAAATATCAATATTTGTTAAATCTGAGTGATAAATACATAACTTTTCCATTTTGAAAAATTTTATAACTTTATGGCAGTGATGCTTCTTACGGAAACTAGAAATATATCAGTGAATAAACACTGTGGGTAGGAAGACTGTCATGAAAAGGAAGAAAAAAAAAACCCAACTTTCCTCCTGCAACACCACCCATTACCTACTACTCTTTGACTCCATGTACTTGCAACAGCATTCCTTTCCTGACAAGACACAAGAATGACCAAAATAAAAATAACTTCAGGACATAACTTGGAGGTGTCCAGATATAGAAGCAGCAGCAATAAAATGTGACTTTATGACTAGGTCACCCTGTCAAGCATATCTACCTGGAGGGAGGAGACTCAGAACAGAAAAATACTACACTACACATTAACTAACAGCATCCTTTGGTTTCAAACTGTTATCATGCTGGCTTCTAAGAATAAAGCTATCCCGAAAGTTAGAAGACTCCTATGATTGCTCTCTTCAACCAAAGAGAATGTGCAGTGCTCCTCAGGATAAGTTAAGCAGCTGCTTCAAGCAGCAGAAAGCAATGGAAGAGAAACACTGAGTATAGTGAGAGCTGGTGCAGTGGGCTGAATGGTGTCCCCAAAAGATGTCAAGTCCTAATCTCGCACTTTTACTTATATGTATATTATAGGTTTTGCAGGTGTGATTAAATTAAGGATTTTGAGAGGAGATTATCCTGATCAGTCAGAAAATAACGTTCACAAGTATTCTTAGAGGGGATAAGAGAAATTAGGCATATGGAGGAGAATGTGATATGAAGACAAAATCATTTTGGAGTGATATGGCCCTAAGTCAAGGGAATCCTTCATACACCAGAAGCTGAAAGATGTGGATTTCTTCCCTAGAGTCTCTCACTCTTTAATTAGGCCTCTCTAGAATATGCTACCATTGTTTTAAGCCAACCTGTGGTAATTTATTACAGCACACAGAGGAAATTAATACAGCAGTAACTACAGAAACACAGTTTTAAAGTTTCCTAGTAGAAAAAACTAACCTTCATGCTGCGCTATTTCCCACCAGAGTTTT